AACCCCCCCCAAAAAAAATCCAAAAAACATGCTTATCATTTTATTAAATAAACATTTTTTTCCCTTAAAGGGAATAGTGTTCACTTTCAGGAGTAAAAAACGTAAAGTAGTATATTTTTCTAAACAGTTACCACTTTCTACTTGTTGCTGACATTTGTATGAGGTTGTTTAGGCATTTTAGTAGTCTTAATTGTTTTATGTAGCAGATATGTAGACTAAGTATTATAAAACTGAAGAATTTTGATCTTCCTGAATTTTGTTGTATAGGTACAGTAGCAGAAGGAGCTCCCATCATTCCAATTTCTGCTCAGTTAAAATATAATATTGAAGTTGTTTGTGAGTACATAGTAAAGAAAATTCCAGTACCCCCAAGAGACTTTACTTCAGAACCCCGACTTATTGGTAAGTGATAGGAAATCCTTATAAATCCTTTTCTAAACTGGTGATTCTTCTTTAAGGGTGTTTATTAGTATTTTCTCTTTCTCCAGTGATGATAATAAATTTATAAAAGTTTTTTTGAAATCAGTTAATTCTGAGATTGTATTGGCAATGATAGATTGTGTTACTAGATGAAGGACAGAACCCTGAATTCAGTAGGAACTGTTCATCTTTCTGTGCAATATATGGTTTGTTGTATGATCCAGTTGGAGTAATATAGTGTTCTCTATGGAATTATAATGTTTTAGTCAAGATGTTAGAACCTTATGCAAATGATGTACCATTAATGAAGAACTGATATTGGTTTAATTTGATCATCTAAGCTTGTAGTTCCTATACAAGGATGTAGGAGCCTTTTCAAAACAGACATTTGAGCCCTTCTGGGCCTGGCCTTCATCCGGTGCTCCTGTGTGTTTGGTGGGAAATGGTTTCTTAGGTAACCTAAGTGCAGGTCATGTAGTCCTAGTGTTGTTTGTAGGTTTTTCTGGGTTTTTTTCCCTGAGTTGGGGTCTCACTGCAGCCTTGCCCTCCTGGGCTAAGGTGATCCTTCTGCCTCAGCCTCCTGAGTAGCTGGGACTACAGATACACACCACAACACCTGGCTAATTTTTTGGTTTTTGTAGAGACAAGGTTTCACTGTGTTGCCCATGCTGGTCTCACTCCCAGGCGCAAATGATTCTCCCACCTTGGCTTTCCAAAGTGCTGGGATCGCAGGCATGAACCACCACTCCCAGACTTGTTTTATAGTTTTAAAGCAAAATTTTCATTACAGAAGTCATATAATAGAGCCAATATAAAGAAAATGTTCATAGTCTCCCTGCCTTCCAGATGAAGTCCCTTCGCCCTGAAATAAGCAAAGTTAATATTTGACTTGCATTACTATTCCTACACCTTTCTCTTTGTATTGTCATGTATAAGCATACACATATGTGGATTCTGATTTTTCTTTGTGGCAGTGGGATCATATTATGCATATTTTTGTAATTTTTTTCTTAACAGTATACGAATTTTATCTTTCCAAAATCATTACATATAGCTCTAGAACTCTTAACATTTATTAATAGCTCCATGATACTCCATAGTCCTAGTATACCATAATATGCCACCTATTAATGAACTTTCAAGTTATTTTCCTTTTTCCCATTATAAATAAGGCTATAGTAAGCATTAGCGTAATACTTAGATTTTGTTACAAAGTCACCCTTTTGGTGTAAATCCAATATGGCAAATATTTTTAAATTAATTTGGAAAAGAATTTTTTTTAAAGTTAAAATGAACAGAATTGGCTTTAATTTGTTTTTTGTTTGTTTTGTTTTGTTTAGTTATTAGATCTTTTGATGTCAACAAACCTGGCTGTGAAGTTGATGACCTTAAGGGGGGTGTAGCTGGTGGTAGTATTCTAAAAGGAGTATTAAAGGTAAAGTAAATTCTGGTTGCTGTATTTTTGTTTTGCTTTTTGTTTTGCCTGTCTCAATCAGAAAAAAGTATGGATAATACATATTGAAAAATGAATTTTTTTCCATGATGTCTGGATTTGATACAGATTTCTCTTTTGTTAATTCAGGTAAAATATACATATAAAATTTACCATCTTTGCCATTTTTAAGTGGACAGTTAAGTGGTAATAACTATATTTGTATTCTTTTTGCCCCCCTTCATTCCTCCCACCTCCCTACCCTTTGGCCTCTGGTAGCTACCTGTCTACATATCTATCTCCTTGAGATCCACTTTTTTAGCTCCCATATGTGAGTGAAAATATGCCATATTTGTCTTTCTGTGCCTGACTTATCTTACTTAACATAATGGCATTCCAGTTCCATCCATGTTGCTGCAAATGGCAGGATTTCATTGTTTTTTATGGCTAGATAGTATTCCATTATGTCTATGTACCCCATTTTCATCTGTTGATGGACACTTAAATCAATTCCATATATTGGGTATTGTGAACAGTGCTGCAATAAACATGAGAGTGCAGATATCTTTTTGATATATTGCTTTCCCTTTTTTTGGATATATACCTAGTAGTGAAATTGCTGCATCATATGGTGGTTCTGTTTTTGGTTTTTTGAGGAACTTCATAGTGCTCTTCATAGTGGCTATGCTAATTTACATTCCTTGATACAGATTACTTTGTTTACTATTATGTCTTTTAAACATATCTAACCTCTAAATGTATAAGCTTCTTGTAAGTATGGAGCACATGAGCACATTTTATATGGTGTTAGTCTTGTGTGGTAGGTAGTTAGCAAAAGTTGGATGGTTCTGATTTTGAAAATCTTGCTCACTTTTTTTTTTTTTTGAGTTGGAGTCTCTCTCGGTCACCCAGACTGGAGTGCAGTGGCCGCTCCCGGCCACCGCAGCCTCAATCTGCTGGGCTCTGGCGATCCTTCCGCCTCAGCCTTCCGAGTAGCCAGAATTACAGGCGCGTGCTACCACGTCCGGCTAATTTTTTTGATTTATTGTAGAGATGAGGTCTCGCCTGCCCAGGCGGGTCTCGAACCCGCGGGCTCAGGCAATCCACTCTCCTCAGCCTCCCAAAGGCGC